TGCCTCCACCTGGCCACTGCCTCCTCTCTTCCACTAAGGCCCATGAAGGCCCACTAATCCCTCGGGGGGTTCCGGTAACCTCCCCGTACTCCGGAAAATGCCCGAACATTTCTGAAACCTTTCCGGTGTCCGAACATAACCTTCCAATACATCAATCTTTATGTCTCAACCATTTTGAGACTCCTTGTCATGCCCGTGATCTCATCTGGGACTCCGAACAAACTTCGGTCATAAAAAACACATAACTCATAATACAAATCATCACCGAATGTTAAGCGTGCGGACCCTACGGGTTCGAGAACTATGTAGACATGATCGAGACACATCTCCGATCAATAACCAATAGCAGAACCTGGATGCTCATATTGGCTCCTACATATTCTATGAAGATTTTTATCGGTCAAACCGCATAACAACATACGTTGTTCCCTTTGTCATTGGTATGTTACTTGCCCAAGATTTGATCATCGGTATCATCCTACTTAGTTCAATCTCGTTACCGGCAAGTCTCTTTACTCGTTCCGTAATGATTCATCCTGTAACTACTCCCTCCGTTCGGAATTACTTGTCTCGGAAATTGGTGTATCTAGAACTAAAATACATCTAGATACATCCATTTTCGCGACAAGTAATTCCGAACGGAGGGAGTAACTCATTAGTTACATTGCTTGCAAGGCTTATAGTGATGAACATTACTGAGAGGGCCCAGAGATACCTCTTCGAAACACGAAGTGACAAATCCTAATCTTGATCTATGCCAACCCAACAAACACCTTCGGAGACACCTGTAGAGCATCTTTATAATCACTCGGTTATGTTGTGACGTTTGATAGCACACAAGGTGTACCTCCGGTATTCGGGAGTTGCATAATCTCATAGTCTGAGGAACATGTATAAGTCACGAAGAAAGCAGTAGCAATGAAACTGTAACGATCATAATGCTAAGCTAATGGATGGGTCTTGTCCATCACATCATTCTCCTAATGATGTGATCACGTTCATCAAATGACAACACATGTCTATGGTTAGGAAACATAACCATCTTTGATTAATGAGCTAGTCAAGTAGAGGCATACTAGGGACACTATGTTTTGTCTATGTATTCACACATGTACTAAGTTTCCGGTTAATACAATTTTAGCATGAATAATAAACATTTATCATGATATAAGGAGATATAATAACAACTTTATTATTGCCTCTATGGCATATTTCCTTCAGTGGGCGCATACTGTAGCCATGCCTTGCCAGGATTTGAGGGGACCAAGTGGCACTGTTGCCATACTCTGTCCCGTCGCGGTGGTTGAGTTCAGACTCCAAGGGAGGGGACGGGCCACCTATTGGAGGCCGGCCCATACCCAAGCCGTCTTCTGGGAGCGCGCTATCTTCTGGAGGTCGGCCGTGTGGCACCAACTGGCTTGGGAAGCCGGCCGTGCGACTAGTCGGCCCGAGGGGCTCGACTAGCCCCGATGTCTTGAAATGTCTTTGGGTGCGGATGAAGCTACCCGGGGTCTATCCCCCTGACAGTACCTCAGCATAAGCTGGTGGTTGTTGACTTCCTCTTTCGGATTCATGTCCAGCGAGATAAGTGTGCCAAAGTTGCTAGAACAAAGTTGTGGAAGCTCAAGGGGGAGGTAGCTCAGGCGTTCAAGGAGAGGGTCATTAAGGAGGGCCCTTGGGAGGAAGGAGGGGATGTAGACAATGTGTGGATGAAGATGGCAACTTACATTCGTAAGGTAGCCTCGGAGGAGTTGGTGTGTCCAGGGGAAGGAGGAGCGAAGATAAGGATACCTGGTGGTGGAATGATGATGTCCATAAGGTGATCAAAGAGAAGAAAGATTGCTTCAGATGCCTATACCTGGATAGGAGTGCAGACAACATAGAGAAGTACAAGATGGTGAAGAAGGCCGCAAAGCAAGCTGTTAGTGAAGCAAGGGGTCGGGCATATGAGGACCTCTACCAACGGTTAGGCACGAAGGAAGGTGAAAGGGACATCTATAAGATGGCCAAGATCCGAGATAGGAAGACGAGGGATATTGGCCAAGTCAAATGCATCAAGGACAGAACAGACCAACTCTTGGTGAAGGACGAGGAGATTAAGCTTAGATGGCGGGAGTACTTCGACAAGCTGTTCAATGGGATGCGAGTTCTACCATTGAACTGGACGGCTCCTTTGATGAGACCAGCATGCGTTTTGTGCGGAGAATCCAGGAGTCTGAGGTCAAGGAGGCTTTAAAAAGGATGAAATGAGGCATAGCGATGGGCCCTGATTGTATCCCCATTAAGGTGTGGAAAGGCCTTGGGGGCATAGGGATAGTATGGCTAACCAAACTTTTCAACCTCATTTTTTGGGCAAACAAGATGTCAGAAGAATGGAGACGGAGTATATTAGTACCAATCTTCAAGAACAAGGGAGATGTTCAGAGTTCTACTAATTATCATGGAATTAAGCTGATGAGCCATACACTGAAGCTATGGGAGAGAGTCATTGAGCACCGCTTAAGAAGAATGACAAGCGTGACCAAAAATCTATTTGTTTCATGCCTGGGAGGTCGACCATGGAAGCCATTTTCTTGGTATGACAACTTATGAAGAGATACATGGAGCAAAAGAAGGACTTGCATATGGTGTTCATTGACCTGGAGAAGGCCTATGATAAGATACCGCGGAGTGTCATGTGGTGGGCCTTGGAGAAACACAAAGTCCCAGCAAAGTACATTACCCTCGTCAAGGACATGTACGATAATGTTGTGACAAGTGTTTGAACAAGTGATGTCGACACTGATGACTTCCCAATTAAGATAGGACCGCGTCAGGGGTCAGCTTTGAGCCCTTATCTTTTTGCCTTGGTGATGGATGAGGTCACATGGGATATACAAGGAGATTTCTATGTATTCTCTTTGCAGATTATGAGGTGCTAGTTCACGATAGTCAGACGGGGGTAAATAGGAAGTTAGAGTTATTGAAACAAACCTTGGAATCGAAAGGGTTTTGGCTTAGTAGAACTAAAACTGAGTGCATGATGTGCGGTTTCAGTACTACTAGGTGTGAGGAGGAGGAGGTTAGCCTTGATGGGCGGGTGGTACCTCAGAAGGACACTTGTCGATATTTAGGGTCAATGCTGCAGGAGGATGGGGGTATTGATGAAGGTGTGAACCATCAAATCAAAGCCAGATGGATGAAGTGGCACCAAACTTCTGGCATTCTCTGTGACAAGAGAGTGCCACAAAAGCTAAAAGGCATGTTCTACAGGATGGTTGTTCGACCTGCTATGTTGTATGGCGTTGAGTGTTGGCTGACTAAAACGCGATATGTCAACAGTTAGGTGTGGCGGAGATGCGTATGTTGAGATGGATGTGTGGCCACATGAGGAAGGATCGAGTCCGGAACGCTGATATACGAGAGAGAGTTGGGGTAGCACCAATTGAAGAGAAGCTTGTCCAACATCGTTTGAGATGGTTTGGGCATATTCAACGCAGGCCTCCAGAAGTTGCAGTGCATAGTGGATAGCTAAAGCGTGCGGAGAATATCAAGAGAGGTCGGGGTAGACCGAATTTGACATGGGAGGAGTCGGTTAAGAGATATCTGAAGGATTGGAGTATCACCAAAGAACTAGCTATGGATAGGGGTGCGTGGAAGCGTGCTACCTATGTGCCAGAGCCATGAGTTGGTCGCGAGATCTTATGGATTTCACCTCTAGTCTACCCCAACTTGTTTGGGACTAAAGGCTCTGTTGTTGTTGTTGTTGTTGTTGTTGTTGTTGTTGTTGTTGATGATGATGATGATGATGATGATGATGATCATGATGATGATGGTGATGATGATGATGATGAAAATATGACCACGTCTTCTTCTGATGTATTGTGGACAAATTCTTGTGGAGCATAATTTAAGATACCCCAGGTTACTAGTGCAACCCAATGAGTTTGCTGACTTTAATAAGCTTGTCCAAGGAACACATATTAAAGATAGAAAAATGGCATGGATTGGATTTGAGGCATTATCTTCGGCTCTATGGAATGCGCGTAATAAAGCCTTAATAAAAGCTCTTGAGTTTAAACACCCATCTAATCTTGTGTCTCTTACAGCGATGGGAGATGTTGGGGAGACAACGGGACCGATTGCAGCTTAATCGGTTCATCAACATGCTTCAGGAAACGTGTCAAGTTTTCCGTATCGCTTCGAGACGAGACAATGCTGGCTAGGGGAGCCACCCGTTATGTTCGTGGTGTTGGCGCTTCTTGAGAACACCCTTTCTTTTCGTTTATGTTAGTTGATATCCCTCGGATTGCAATCAATGTGTCACTTTGTTCAGTCACTTGTGACCCCGTATCGAACCTATCTATATCTTGAATTTCCTTTCCTGTTGAACTCTAGTTGTAAGACTCTAAGGGCCTCGGTTTAAGAACCAACAAGCCCTTGTTTTCTAAAAGAAACATAATCTTATGCCCGAGCTGAAACAGTAAGTTCTTGGATTAAATTAAATTGGATTGCTGAGAAATCACAAAGCAAGAAAACAAAATCGCCAAATCAGCTGCCACCTTGCATGTCATAACCCAAATACATGACAAATACTTCTTTGCAACCAGAATGAAATACAATATACCACATGAATAGAGTTTAGCGAAGTTAATAGGTACGTTCATCCCCAGAAGATCAACACATGCTAATGGACGGTGCTAGAACCAGCAAGTTTCCAACCACCACATATGTGGACAAAAAATTTGAAATCCACCAAAAATTGAGGCGCAGATGGCGTGCCATGAATAAGTTCCACAATATTTTATACAGAGATAGATTTTTGAGTCGACCAGAACAAATTTCTTATGTATTTCATGAGCCTCTAGCCTTTACCCATTTCGGAAGGAGCGAACTTTCACTGGCGATACAAATTTGCATGAATGGCCAGGCAGTCCTAATAGTGCCAGTGAGTACTATCTAACAAACTAATTGCAGTTTCTAAAAATATTTGTTCATGCGTCCATTGAGAGTGAGTTTCTTCACATCAGGTACTGCATAGTTTGCTGAAACAATTTATCAACCACAATGTTGTAGGCCTTTTCGGTAGGATGAAAGATGTCCCAGAAAATGAAATCATAAGCATTCGGGCAGGCAGGGTGATTTTTAATGAATATTGCTGCATTTAGCACTGTGCTACCACAACATCCTTCGGTTACCTCCTTGAAACCTATATTACAGTCAGTTTAAAAAAATGTAGTATCAAATAACTATGAATTTATGATGCCAACATGTCAATCGGCATGTATTTATACACACTATATAAAGCCAAATATTCCTAAACAAAGTATATAAACTAATGTAAACATTTATGTATACCATGTTAGTCACTACACAGTTCTTGTTACTTCAATTTGCCTGTAGTACTGTAAGATTGATGACATGTTAGAGCTTAATGTTTCTCACTGTTATCTGTTAATATGTCTATAGCAGCTATACTCTACAGTAATGATTGATGGTATGCTCTGAAATAACAATCGAGTGCACTCACCATAAAAACCAGGTCGCTGAATGAGATCAAGCAGATTGTAGTATATATCAAGATAAATAAACTTTGAGCCTCGAACATTTTGTTCTGCATCTAGCCGTTGTATTTCCTTTTCTATTTCAGAATTAAATAGATTTGCTGCTTGATTCCTCATGGGCTCACATTCTCTTGATCCAAGTGCTCTTTGCGAGGGACAACATCCAATTGGTGCAATGCCGATGATTGCAATCTTCTTTGCACCCATCTCATTTAATTTCTGTATAGAAGTGTATATATGAGCGTACTAAAATTTTCAAATAGCAGGCCGACTGCTCAAATGCCAATTAAACAACAAATATATGAAGGATGCAAAAAAAAGAGTAGGGGATTATTAGTACCATGGTCATTATGAAATATCCCTATGTTGAAACTTTGTCAACAGAAGTAGATGGTAGGAAAAATTCAGCAATGTACTAAATTTACAAACACACATATTTGTAACCGACTAAAGGAAACTACTTGATGCACCAGGAAGGAATGGTTTGTCGTTTTTTAGTTTGAGTGAAATATGTGAAACTTCAAACTGACAGAGAATTAAATGAACACTAGAACTTCGTGCAAAAAGAGAGAGTCAAATAAGCTTTCGTATTTACTACTAGGAGGTTTAGAGTTTCAATAAGTACTCTTACCGTAGTAAAGTTGACAGCAGAAGAGACAAGAAATTTCACGTACGAAGGAAGGTCATATTGATGGCGCCTCAAAGGAATTGTAAAATAGTTATTTGCAAGGTCATTTGCCCCCATGACTGTGAAGTATATGCCTTTGGAGATTACACGTGTCATCTCCTCTTCTCCGACCAAAGCTCTTAGTCGCTCCTTATATTCAAGGAATAGTTCAAGTTGCCCAGTACTCGATGTAGCAGTCTGAAGCATAGGAAATTAGCATTTGCAAACTCTAGTAGTAACAATCTTAGCTTGGGGTGAAAGCAAAGTGAAATATACTTGACGAGAACTATGTTGTGAGATGCATGTGACATATTTTGTTATCGAGGGTATCGAAGTTAGAGGATCGTATCCACTGCCACCAGAAGCAAAGACAACACCCGTGAGTAGCTCACTTAGTGGAAGATCATTTCTGAGGTAGGGTGGCAATAGTTCCTTAATTCCCAGCCTAGAAACTGCTAGTCAAGAAAAATATTATCAGCAGTGGATATTCAAGTTTTCACTTGGTGTAAAGTAGCCATTAAAGAGTTTAAACTTAAAAAGAACGGAAAGTTTTTTAAGTAGTAATTGATCATTTTAAATAGTATAGTACTGTTTAGATACATGTTGATGGACCCGCGCAGGATGGTGGTGCTGTCTAGCGTCATGGTGGCGTCGATGGCAGTTGGGCCTGACAAGATCAATGCGTGGATTTCTCCTGAAGTTGGGACGACGAAAGTTGGTGGCGGTGGATTCTAGAGCGTGCGCGTGTGATGCTCGCTAAGGGTCTTTTAGATCGATTGGTGCTCTCGGCTCACCATGGGGTGGCTTGGCGATGCCACCGGATTAGATGGTATGCATGGTGCAATGTGAGGGCACATCATCAAACTTATAACAGTAGCGAGATAAATCATCACAAGTGTAGCTTTGGGTTGATCTATGTATTTGTATTGTCAAACTGCATTGAATAATTTAATAAAGATGACCGTGTGCATTGCTTGATGCAGAGGCGGGGTAATCTCTTTTCTGAAAAAATAGTATTGTTTGGCCGTGGTTCTTTTGTCACGTGATTAATTATTGGTTATTGCTCGACATGCAAGTTAATTGTGCAACATATCAAGCCGTCTCGATTCGAAACTGATATTGACAGAACCATGATGGAGTAGTTAGTTGTGCGTTTAATGGAGAAGGAGGCAGAATAAAAATGCACGACAGATGAAAACCAAGCTGACGGGCCAGTACGACTGAACTATATGCATTTCATTAGCAGGTCCTATGTACATGCACAGTGTTCCGATCTGGACCCCAAAATGTCTCCTGCAACAATACTACTCCCTCAAAGGAAAATGACACTGCTAGCCGTTTGGCTCCAGATTTTAAGTTTGCCCTAGCTGACCTTAGGCACGTCACAATTTTTTATGTACTCCCTCAGTCCTAAAAACAAGTTTCTCAACTTTATACTCTCTTCTTAAAAAAATATAAAAGAGTTCAGATCACTGAAGTAGTCATCTAAAAGCTCTTATATTTCTTTGCAGAGGAAGTACAAAGTCAATACAAAGTTGAGACATTTATTTTGAGGGGGGAGGGGGTATTTGCTTCTCAATTTTTTTCGCAAGTTTGCCACAAGTATGGTGTCAATTTTCTTGGACACACTTTGTAGCAAGCCACACAAGGTGCGGTAAAGTTAGCCTTCAACCAGACATTCCCGCATATGTTCTCATCTAGGTGTAACCAAAGTTATATATAAAACGTACAAGAAGCTACTCCATTAGTCCCCAATTTAAACATAAGTGATGCATGCCATATATAACCTCCATTCCAAATTACTTGTCTTAGATTTGTAGTGTATCTGAACAAATTTAAGACAAGTAATTCGGGACGGAGGGAGTACAACTAAAATGGCGTAAACAATAAAGTTGCACCAAAAGTAAATAGTACTAAAAAGCAACAGCAAAGTCAGTTGCCGGTTGTTACAACTTACTACTCCCTCCGTTCGGAATTACTTGTCGTAAAAATGGATGTATTTAGATGTATTTTAGTTCTAGATACATCCATTTTCGAGACAAATAATTCCGAACGGAGGGAGTACGTACTCCCTCCGTCCTCAAATACTTGTCGGAGAAATGCATAAAAATGAAGTGCGGCTAATCTGCACCCGGGCTCATCTGCACCCACGCTTAGAAAAAAAATACTAGAAAAATTCAAAAAATTCCAAATTTTTTTGTGGTGGTAGATAATTTGACGCGTGAGGTGCGCCCCAAAATTCATCTCATTTGAGCATCTGAGCAGCTCTCGGCAAAAAAGACAAAATCAGGGTCTGTAAAAATGTTCACTGTCCATGCACTGTTTTGACCCGATTTGTCTTGTTTGCCGAGTGCTGCTCAGATGTCCAAATGAGATGAATTTTGGGACGCACCTCACGCGTCAAATTATCTACCATCACAAAAGAAATTGGAATTTTTTGAATTTTTCTAGTATTTTTTTTGAATTTTTTGCTGAGAGGGAGCAGATGAGCCCGGGCACCATTTTGAGTTTTCGATAAAAATGAATGTATCAGAATTAAAATATGTCTAGATATATTCATTATTCCGACAAGTATTTCTGGACGAAGGGAGTACGTACGTACCTAGCATGTCTCCGGGAACCTTCCCGTTGGAGAACCTCCCGGTAGCCACCCCGCCGGGGAAGTCCTGCCCGTACGGCGGGAAGTTGGCCTTGGCCTCCGTCAGCCGGTCGTTGTTGTTGCCGGGGTCGACGGTCGAATCGCCGAACATGAAGGCGGCGGAGATTTTGCTTCTAGCCCTGGCTGCTGCTCCATGGGCGGATGGGAGAAGCGCCATGAGTAGCAGCAGCAGGCCTCGGTAGAGAGACGCCATTGCTTGGCTCCGTACTACTAATGATGTGTGTACTACCAGCTAGCTAGCGGTGTGGTGTGTCGCTGGCTCTGGCTGGTGCAAGATTGATCCGCCGTGGGAGGTTTTATAGCGTAGCGGGGCATGGAGAAAAGTACGTGCGCGTCCGCTGCGCAGTGAGGCGACTCAGATCATCATTCATCACGCATATATGGTTGGTTGCTCGCTGCATGTATTGACCGTCTCCGGTCCTGTCGATTTAATGGGTAGCGTTTTTTTTTCTTTTCTGAAAAAGAGGATGTACCCGGCCCTCTTCATCTGGGCGATGCATGTGGCTATTTTATTAATTATTCACAAAGTCCTTAATACATCAGTAAGCCTAAAGCCACCATCTTGCCAACACCTGTCGCTACTCCTATCCCCGTGATGAAGGGATGCCGAATGTCCGAGCCTAATACCTAACAGATATCGCGCCAACACCTAACATCTAATGTCGGATGCCCCATTGAAGCCACAATACTTGGACTGGGTTAAACACCGGTCCGACGCACTTTCAGTGGGCACCACATGCGCACGCTGCAAGGGCCATCACCTCCTTCATCCATTGTTGATCCACCTCAGTTCAGATACTGACGCATTGACCTTGCCAGGCCTCTCTGCCATCGACGCCATCATGACGCCAGACAACGTCGTCCTCCTGCATGAGTCCATCGCCACCCAACGGACGCCGAGTCTCCATTGCGCCACACCGCCGAGATCCGCCGCCATCGATGTGTAGGATGAAGCACCAACCACCAAGCCATTCGCATGTCCCAGCCGATGAATGTCTCCAAAGATGATACCCCACTGGGGTGACGACGAAGACGTCACCATCATCTGATCCAGGAAGTCCCTCAACGCCTCCAACGAGGGCTACGACGCCCACGGGCACCGTCGTCAATGGTAGCCTCCTTCAGATCTGAGGTTTCCTCCCGAAACAATGGAGCGAGGGATGCCCCCACCATCATCTCCAACAAGGAAAACGACACCCCCGTGGGGTCGCCGACGATGGTGGCATCCTCACCCACTTCAGCAGCTAGGCCACTATCTCCTCATCCACTTGATCCGCCGTCGGGAAGCCACCGCGAGGCAACACCCACCGACGAGATCCCTTTGGACCGACGATGAAGACAACCAAAGATAGAGAAGGTCACATCGCTGCATGACCGGCACCATGGACACACACACGTCGTCCCGAGGCGCTCACTCAAGATTCACCGTCAAAGTCATGCCTCCAAGCCACGACGGAGGGACGCCCCGCCGCCGCCATCATCCCCCCGCACGGGCTTTGCCCAGCCGGGATCCGACGGCGGGAGGGGAGGTGAACGGGAGGCGAAGGGGATCAGGAGGGATCTGGAGGGGGAGGGAGGCGGACGAGAGGCGGAGGGGATCGGGACCATTTAATGGGCAGCGTGATGGTGTAAAATTGTAGAAGGCCCAAGTCTCGCTTCTTTGTGATCATGTCACGGTCGTCCAGGCACACGTACCGCCTCCCATGGCCTACCCGCCAATACAGGTTCGCGTTGAATGGCACAACACGTCCGGGCCGCGTGGTCTGGATGTATGTGGACGATTTGAGGGTCAGCGTCGGAGATTTATGCTTGAGTAGTGCATCCAAACACACGTGACGCGTACACCCATCTCGCGTGGAAAATAAAGAGAAAGAAGATGCATAGAAAACACACACAAAAGGACGGTTAACTAGCTATGGAAGACGTTGATGCATGATGGTGCTGATGCTGAAACACGCGCACGTGCGTCCTCAAATCTGCCTTGTTTTTTGTACAGAGAAAGCTCCGGGTAACGTGACCAACATCAGCTAAGGCTGCGTTCCATGGCCGCGGCTTGTCTTTCCTTTTCAGGCTTGCCGTTGGTTTTGCAGACAACCTCGACGAAAAAGCATGGGTATTCTGCTTCAAAGTATATGAAAATAATGAGATGCCGTGCAAATGCTTCTTTCGCTCTATCCAGTTGGAGAGAAGAAGTTTCTGACAGGGGTCGCTACTCCATGGTCGGGATTACGTCAGTGCTTCGCTGGTTACATAGCGACTTTTGGTCCAGAAATATGGGGAATCAACTTGCAGAATGCTCACCGAAGAAGCATTAGCCAACTTTTTATCAACTTGCAAAATGGTTCGCAAAAGTTAATCCTTCACTTGGAGATCCAAAATGTTGGCTTCGTTCCAAGAAGGTCATAGGAGCCGTAGATGGAACCTCGTTCTGATTATGCCTGAAGAGGAGCAGTAGTGCATTGTGCATCTAAACCCTAAGGTGCAGTGTACACGTCGCCTACCATGGAAAGAACACAAGAAAGCTCCAGGCTGAGGCAACCACCATCAGCGCCTGCTTTCCATTTCCATGGCCGCATGTAGCTTGTCTTTCCTTTTCAGTTCCTGTTCGTTTTCGCAGACAACCCAAAGAGAAGAAAAAAGGGCAGGAATTTTGGTTATCTGATTTGGCTGATGGCTGGGATCTCCCTTGACTGAACCGTATCGAATGACTGATTGCAAAGCAAAAAAGGACAAACACTTGGCTATCTTCTGTGACATAAACATCTCACCTCATCAGAGAACAAAAAGCTGCTTCTTTTAACACTAGTGGGCTCAAGAGGAGAAGTTTTTAAAAGCTTTCGACAGCATGATCTTTCGCTTGAGAAGTATATATGGATTAAAGCCAACTTGCAACATGTGCTCCAACTACATTTCACCAAAGTTTATAGAAATATGTGCTCATATATACAATATAGAATATGTATGGTACAAAAACTATACTCTGTATTTATTTATTTTTTTAAACAAGGCAAAAGATTTGCCATTTCATTGATTAAGAAGAAGGTTTAGACAGGCCACGAAGTGGCTAGAAATAAAATCTACTCTCGCGGCATTACAACACTCAAATGCTTGGCGCCCGCCAACGCCCAAAGCGACAACTCCTCTTTTATCTTACTACTAATGACGACCGTCGTAGGTGCGGCCGTGTTGCGGAACAGGATGAATATTTTAGACCTGAGCAGTGTGCATTCAGACTCGTCTCCCATGAAAAACAAAGGCATAGAACATAGCAGGTGTGGTTACCTAGTTAACGAAGACGTTGATGATGCCGAAACAAAACCTGGCAGACACTCGGCCTCTCCATTGCTTGTATGCTATAACCTGTGTTCCACGGCCGCAGCTTGTTCTCTTTCATAGTCTTCCTGTCACTTTTGCAGACAACTGGAGGAAGCACCAGAATTTTGGCTCCTTCCCTTCACTGCAGCAGGAATCCCCGCAAAAATTCTGCGTTTGAAGTACGCATTTAGTGACAAAAGCAAAATGCTTTTAAGTTGCCGTGTTTGAATCCATTCTGTGCTTCTTTCAGTACATAATTAAAACTGTCTGCAGTTCTCTACAGCTACTGTACTCATCCAGAGGAGATACTTACAAATCATCCAGCTTCTTTACATGTCTGGTAGAAAAAAAAACAGAGCCTCAAAAGGCTGTCGTGGGTATTTACAGGACAAAAAGGGGAGGCACGTGCCTCGGTCTAGATATTCAGCAGTCTTCTCCTAACCCACTGTGCTACGAGTTGCCAAAGGCAGTTACGTACGAGACCACGACGGTGATGTCGTCCAGCTTCCCGCCATAGTACCGGTACCCAGCGTCTTGGGCCGCGGTCGAAAACGGCGTCGGCCTGTTCTTGTCCTGTGCCCGCTGGCGTGCGAGCGCCGCTATCTTCTGGGCCGTCACTTGAGGTTCCAGGCCAGCTCTGGTTGCATGGACCACTACAGCTGTTATATCATTGTTGTACAGGTTATCAAACAACCCATCTGTTCCAGCGACAATTACATCACCAGACGCGACAGGTACCTTGAAGACCTGAGTATACAGGCACAGCAGGCAAAACAACATGGTTATTAACAAGGACTACAATTTGCAGTATGTGACGATTGCTAGACTGGATACATGTGCTCGTATGTTTTAAGAGATGGATAGTAACAAGGACTACAATTCTACAATCCGCGTGTCGCAGAATTATACTACATGTGCTCATACTCCCTCCATCCGGAAATACTTGTCGTTGAAATGAATGTATCTAGATGCATTTTAATTCTAGATACATCCATTTATGCGACAAGTAATTCCGGGCAGAGGGAGTATGTTTTAAGAGATGGATACAGAATGGAGTATAATTCTGCGACACATGGATTATAGAATTCCTAATCTATATGGCTATTATATATGCATTTGTTTCACCTGGGAGTACTAGTATAATCCATCGGCACAAAGGCTTCTTTTACTAGAACATAAAGCTATCGTTTTCATTAAAAAAAACAGCCACAAGCCATGAATATTTGTTAACAACCAAATTGTGTCCATAGACACTGGTTACTACAAAAACAAAAGCGTTATCAGCAGTATATAAACATACCTGTGCAGCATTAGGCAAGTCACTCGAGTTGCCACTCTGAAGTTGGTAGGAGAAATTGAAATCATGTTGTTGTACAGGTGACCTACACAATGTGCAGCCATCTCGGATGACTATAAAGCCACTGTCACCAAGATTAATTGCTTGTATTCCCTGAAATAATGTACAACCAAATCTGAAATCGTGATAAACTATCTAAGAACTGAACAAGTTAAACACTCAGGTCAGTTTTGTGGCATTATATCATCAACAAAGAATGGTGGTCAAGTTTTAGCTTCTCTTACTGATGCCAAAGCTATAGACAAGGAAACATGTAATCATGTCGCAGCAAAAATAAACAAGATCAGTAACCAACCTGATTTGTTATAGCAATGATACATGCGGTCGATGAACCCGGCACTGTTGTGCTACTATGGGCCTTTTCCAGTACCCTTGTAAGATCAATTGAATCTTTTGGCTCTTCTTCTATTGCAGTTACTGCATTAGACATAATATCTCTAGCATATTGACCTGCATCAATACCGTAGCTTGCCCAACCACCAACGCCATCAGCTATGCCTATAGCCTGTTCATCCCAAATAAAATGTGCATCCTCACCACCAGTTTCTTCCTTATCCGGATGTGGTAGATAACATACCCCTGAAACAAGCTTCAAGGACCTATCTCCTAACATAGTCCTGAAATAGTGATCAATGTTTTAGAATAATCTAAGCAGATATATAGTCATAAAAATCATCACGATGCATATGAGAAGCGCCATGATGCAGTGCTTAAGCACAAACCCCGAGCAGGGCACATGACTCTGTCAAGACACATGACATCGGTGGTCGAGGGAAGCAACCTCTATCTCGAGGAGTTAAATATCTAAACTTCCTAATTTGATTGAACTGTGATACCTATCCCTTAATTGCAACTGTATCCTGCTTTTGCAATCTGTGCACCCTTGGTGGCCCACTTGGGGCTGTAAATTACATTACATACCCCACGTGGCAGCAATTATTCTGATTTTCTTTCTTTTGAGGAGAGTTTATTCACTAGCAGACTTTTTTCTCTCACCAATCTCTACCAACTTATCATATTTCCGTATGGCCCATTAAAAACCTATGAGCATGGATTCCCAATGACTATTAGTTATGTAGAATTGTAGATGAACAAGACCTCCAATCCATGCCCCAGTGCCAAATTTTATCAGAAAAGTGTAACAACTGTTGAGTTTTGACATAATTAGTATTCTTAGAACAACTGGAATCATAATGCACACAATGAGAAGACAATGTTCACGGACTGGGCATCTGCTAAAACCCCAACAGTGAGAACCTCATTTGAGCTAATTTGAAATCGAAAATGTACTCACTAAGCTAGGATACGCCGATTGAAATTAAACAGGTAGATACACAAGAGGAAACATACTTAAACAGGTAGATACACAAGAGGAAACATACTTATCTGCGGTGCCTACGGATTTCTCAGGCTGCGAGACGTCCGCCTCGCGGGCGGCCGGGCTGAAAGACACCTCTTCCGGAGCGGCACCGGTAGCGAAGAAGCGCCCGCCGCCGACGAGGAGCTGCTCCATCAGCAGGCCCGGCCTGGGCACGCTGCTGGCGGCGCACCGGAACCACCAGGACCCGCCGCCGCCCGCCGCGGGCCCTCCCCAGATGCCGAGGAACCCAGCCGCCTCCCTCCCCTGCAATCCGCGCGCGGGAGACAGCAGGGCCCCGCCCATGCCCGGCAGCGCGGCGGAGGACGCGGCCCTCGGCGCGCCGGCGCCGGCGGCTCCCCGGAGCAGCCACGCGGCCGCACGCTGAAGCGCGATCGCCGGGGACATCCTGCCGCGGCGCCCCTGCTGCGCCCGAGAAGCTGCCGGGGAGACGCTCCGGCGAAGGTGGTGGAAACCCTAGGGTGCGGGGGAGGGAGGGACAAGGATGAGATGCCGTGCCGTGCCGGGGCAAAAGGATGCAGCAGTTTTTCCTCGCGGTTTTTTTTTTCGCACTGGCTATGGGAAGGAGGCAAGGAGCGTTCATTCTGGAAAGAATATACGATGCAGTTCTTTTTTGGAAAGAATATACGAAATCTTATGCGTCTTTATACTTCCTCTGTTTCAAAATAGATGATCCAATTTTATATTAACTTTAATAAATAAATAAATGATCCAATTTTATACTAAAGTTAGTATAAAGTTGGGTCATCTATTTTGAAACGAAGGGAGTAGAATTGATGATCGATTCTTGTAGTTTGTGGATGATTCTCTGAACATGACTTTTTCCCGAAAAACCTGAACCCTAAATGGCTCTTGTTCCGGAGAAAACATGCTTGTGGTTGAATTTGCCATCCAAAGCAACCAAGATCTTGTGTGGGAAGACTCATCATGGCACATTAGCAAGGGTGTGTTTGTTTGGACTCTTTTCAATAGCTTTTGTGGCTTTTGCTGCCTAAAAACTGGAGCCCAAACAAAGAGGCTTTTTTGGGCTGGCTCACGCAGCCCATAATCTGAGCACTCCAGGAAAAACG